GTTTCTTTCCATTCGTGGCTTTCCGGACAGGATGCTGTCCGAGTGATGAAGGAACGGCTGCTAAATCTGTTGCCGGACACGAAGATCTTTCTCGACGTGGACGACTTGGCGTCCGGGCGAGGCGCAGCCGAGGTTGCTGCGTCGGAGATTCTCATCGTCTTTTTGTCGGACGGCTACCTCACGCGCCCCAACACCGTGCGCGAACTGCTTCGGGCGATGACTCTGCAAAAAATCATCATCACCGTCTACGATGAGCGCAGCGTCTACATGGACAAAGATGTGCTCGGAGCAGCGATCGACGCAGCTTGCCTGAACCTTTCGAGGTGGGCTCTCGACGGCGACTTGGCGGCCTGGGGCGCAGAGGTCCCGACCACGGCCGACATCTTTGCTGCACTGACAGCCCGGCCTCTGCTGTGGACTCGTGTTCCAGCTTTCATGAACGTCACTTTGCAGGCGTGCGTGACACCGCTGGTTCAGCCCAAGGCGCCCATCTTGCAATCTGTCCCGTCTTGGGCGCAGAAGGGGCTTGGTCGCGCAGACGGGAAAGCGAGTCTCTCCCCGGAGGTGCTCGAGCGCGCAATCGAGATGATGCAGATTGCTGCTGAGCCTGGCGAGGCGGCTTCGATGAGCCTGTACACGCGAGCCGGCATTGGCTTCACCTGGCAGAGGCTCCGCGCTGGAGAGAGGTTTCGACTCTACGCCAGCCCACACAACCCCGGCGCGCTCGAGCTCACCCAGGAGCTGTCTTGCCTGCTGCGGCACCTCGACATAGAGCTCGAAGTGACGACCTCCGTCGCCGACCTCACGGCCTGCAGCCACATGCTGCTGTACCTCGACAAGCGCACCTGGACGGAGAATGACCAGCGGATAGCTGCGCTCTCGAGCGACGTGAAGGCCGCCCTGGCCAAGCGCGTCCACCTGCTTCTGGTTCACGAGAGCGAGCCGTTTGAGTACATGGAGGGCAGCCACGCCGGCGTCAAGTTCGACGACCTCTTCGACTGCGTGGATGGCGCGACCCCCATCGAGCTGCTTCAGCGAAAGGTGAGTCCCCGCGCTCGCTGCATCAATCGGCGCGTAGCACAGTGCCGTCGACTCACCTCCACCTCTGTCTCGCTCAGGTCTACTCGGAGGTTGCGGTGCCGCTCAAAGAAGGCATCTATCGGCCCGCAAGCCTGCTGCTGCTCGCACGCGCTGTCGGCGACCAGACGCGGGCTTCGGCGCTGCGGCAGCTCACTTCTTCCTCCAAAGAGCTGCGCCTGCCCTCTACGACTTTTGCGGAGGGCAGAGCGAGTCTGATGAGCCGGAGCAAACATGACCGCTTGAGCCTGTAGGTAGAGCACACCACACGGAGCGACGGAGGAGGGCGCTCCCTCCTGTCTGAGGGTTGGTCCGGACCTGCCCGGCATTTGGGCACCACTTTGCCCACTCTGCAGTCGTTCGTTGGACGTTGCCAAGGCCTGCTAGCATCTTTGGTACGACTGTGAGCGCAGCCGCGTCGTTCTTTGTCGTCCTAGAGATAAAATGTACAATTGCAATTATGTAGTAGCTACGGCTTTAGTAGAGAGCCGTACTGCTCGCATGAACACGATGAATTGCCTTCAAAGTAACATAAAGAGACGAAGGCGCTCGCACTGCTCACACTCGAAACGCCGCGATCGCGGTGTCGGCAGCGTGACGAAGCGGAAGCCGCCCACAAAACACGCAAGCACACACACAGGCACATACACACAGGCGTCTCCATAGGTGTGCTATCAGCAGCCAGACCTGGCCCATCTCTCAAACGTCCAGCCTCCCCGGCGCAGCCTGCCCGGAGAAATCAACAGCGCCGCTCGTGGGCGGGGCCTCCCCACCCGTGTCCGACCCGCGCGCCTCGGCCAGTGCCTCGGCGGAGAAGCTTCCCTAGCGGAGAACGTAACTACCTGCCACTTTTCTCCGGGGCCTCCAACGAAACCGAGTATTCCCCGGTCCCCTTTATGGTGTTGACCCTTCCCCCAATTTGGTGGTATCCAAATCATTGCGTTGGGTTCATAACGGCCCCCCTTCACC